CGACATCAACTCTAGCTTACTGCAATTATTAGGAATTGCCGCAGTTTAAAAGGATTCTAGACTATGCCTTTCTTCGAATGCCAAAATATTACGTATGACAGCGCTGGTATCAGCATACACAACGAAGAAGTCAACGAAGTAGACCTATGGTCGTGTGGAACATTCAAAGAAAGGTGAATGAGTAGCTGCTGTAGTCGATTGCAATTTAGGTGCGTGTGCTACAACAAGTTCAGGATGAGGTCACTTCTGACGGTGTCCTTGTCGATATACTTTCGGGATAGTTATAACTCTAAGTACTGAGCGGAATTTGATGTCATTTACGCAATAAAGCAGCTATGTGCGTACAAGCTAGTCCATTTTGACTGTACTCGAAGATGTGAAATTCCAGTTTCCACTTTAAGAAAATAGACCGTTGGCACATACGGTAAGGGTTTACGTGCCGCACCACAGCTCACCAAACAATGTGTTCGAAACAACCTGCTTACTAATAATTATGCAGTTGTTGCTTTAAAATGCTTTCAGATTTGCAACAGGGCGCCATCGATCACGGATGGTGCAAGGGCACATACCTGGGCTGATATCGAGCGATAGCACGGATGCCTCGGGATTGTCAATGGTCACTGTTGGGTTGACCCTCAAAAGACAGCAATCCACGGAGCTAGAGGTGGATGCTGAAGTACCGCCTACAGTTTCGTGTTTGTAAGGAATAAAGTGCAATCCGCCACTGTATGTTGCCACTAGGAGCCATCCAGTGCAGTTGCTGAGTGAACTGTGACCTAAAAATGCAGAGGACGAAGATGTTTAGATAGAAGTTGACCAGGTTAAGAAATCGGAACCTGGATTTCATTTACATTTGTTTTGGATTTTACGAATTTAGGCAGCAAAGAAGCGACTGGATTCAACAGCTATTTGCCTCATATACCTGCTCTCGTAAATCCGACATACCCTGAAGAATAATCGATATCAGAAGCGCAGTTATTTCCCAGTTGTGTTGAAAAGAATTGTGTGTGACTAACCAATAGTAGTCTTGTAGTATGAGTAAGTCAAGATGACACGAGATGTGTCTGGATCCAGTGACTGCCTGGACAATAGACTTTGCTCTCCGTCAGGTACTGTGACAGTTTAGCAAGCAAAGGTTGAATATGGTAAATGTCACATTTCCTTGCAGTTTTAATTGTTTTTCAAAGGTTGGATTAGGTCAAGTGAATGAAAGTGAGTGTTGTTGCTTACCAGGCACTTGCGGTCTATACTCCTATACAGATGCGAATGTTGGGCTATGCGCGTGGAAGATGAACGAAACTGGAAGTCTTTGACCACTACTGTCTGATGGACCATCCTTCGAGTGAAGTACACCGACTTCGTCTCAAATGAGACAGTCCGCACGCGCTGTGACAAAATCACAAGGATATCCCAGGCCATTCAGGAAAGACGGCTGAGGTGGTTTGGCGATATCCCAGGCCATTCAGGAAAGACGGCTGAGGTGATTTGGACACGTTCTTGCCAAGTTTTGTGCGCAAGTCTAACGTTACTCATGCTTTATTTGCTTCCGCTTCTATATCTATATTACGTATGGTGCGCAAACACATTCAACATACAAGCATACAGCATGTAGATTCTTCATGGACTAAGTCTACTGACAATTATATAATTGGAACGTTTGTCATCATGACAGATGAAGCCCAACAGCCTTTATGCCATGGATTGTGTCAGTCAATGAAAGACACTCAGCGGCAGCGGATCTGAAAGGCGCAACTCATTCTCCTCGAAAGGTTTAAGAACAGCCCTTACAGCTGCCTTGAACTGTATTGGGGCACGTTTTCAGTTGACTGCAAAGAAGCAGTGACGGAGTCCAATGACAGCAACACTGGACTTGAAGTGATCAAAAGGAAATGCGTTCAGGGAGACTGCTTCATTGGAAACAATGCCGGTGAATTTCACGCGCTGGTGCTGTCAAGGCAGCGCCGGTCAAACACCTCCAACTTTTGCTCGTATTTTACATACACAGGGCAAAACACCGGCAACCGTATGGTCTTTATGCGGTCTGTACTCCTATACAGATGCGAATGTTGGGCTATGCGCGTGGAAGATGAACGAAACTGGAAGTCTTTGACCACTACTGTCTGAGGAACATCCTTCGAGTGAAG